AGACAGACAGACAGACAGACAGACAGACAGACAGACAGACAGACAGATAGATAGACAGAAAGACGAAATGGAAGATCTATTCACATAAAACTTCATTTCAACATCAAAATTACTAGAATGTCCCTCAGTAGCTGATACAGCTTTTGACACCTGGGTCTTGGAAGTGGTGCATTCACTGTGTGATCTCTATGTTGAAGGTAGATTTGCCTCCTTTGAACAGCTGGTACAGAAGTTTTGTGTGATCTAACTGACTGTTTTTCATTGTACCCCTCTAAGCATTTTGTGGTTAAGATTTTAGAGTGCTGGTCTGACACTAAGGGGACCCTCAGCAAAATCTATACACTGCTCAGTTCATATCATGAGTCCAGTTTGGACTCCCTTAAACTGAAATGGGAAGCGGACTTGGAGGAACCCATATCAGATCCAATCTAAGGAAGGATCATTAAGAACATTCACTCACCTTCAGTCTGCCTGTGACATGATGTAATTCAATTCAAGGTAGTGCACAGGCTGCACTGGTCCAAAGAGAACTGTCCAAGATCAAGGCCGATCTGGACCCAGCATGCAATCGTTTCAAACAAACTCCAGCTACACTCTTGCATACATTCTGGACTTGTCCCGAACTGCAGACTTTTTGGCAATCTATATTTGACACCTTCTCTGGAATATGTGACAAGACCGTACTTCCATCACCACTCATGTCACTATTCGGGGTGGTCCCAGTGGATACATCCCTCAGCATATGTGAGATGGATTTGATTGTCTTTGGCTCTCTTCTCTTGGCTAGGAGACTAATATTGTGTAACTGGAAGGACCCCTGCCCCTGTGGTTCTAGGGAGAGTCCAAGGACGAGATCCAGTAGGGAAAGCAGAGGTCATGCACAGTTGGTCAGAGAGTAGAATTCAAAGCCAAATCTTGATCTGAGGGTCATAGTCGAGGAGATGGGAAGCAGAGTCGTTACCGTGATCAAAAAGCAGAATCCAAAACAAGTAAGGGGCATGCAAGGTGAAGAATCCGAGGAACAGGCGTGGGGTCGAGACAAGGCAAGAGAACAAGGTTGTGAAGAGATCGCTGGACATCTACTATCTAAAAAAGTTTGATAATCTGGCACTGGTGGAGTGTGAGCATGAAGCTTATAAAGGCAGGTGAGCAGGTGAAGTTGATGAGTGCCGATTACTGTAACAAACAAGGGAGGTGTGGCTTAGCTTGGAAGGAACAGGATTAAACTGAAGATGGGTGATAAGCAAAACTGCACATGGAAACAGAAAACTACATCAGGTAGGGGCAGAAATGTGACACGTATGATTTGTTTGTGTAGTTTTGACTGATCCGGTGTGGGAGGGGATTGTTTTATAGTTTAATGTTTTCTATATTGAAAATATGAATAAAATACTTTGTTTAAAAAAACACGAAAATGTTAGAGTGAGATATAAAGAAATACTTGAATAATTTTGGGCTGTTCAGTTGGACAGCAGCACTTAAAAAATCCACGTTTCCATCCATTATCTTTTACCCGCTTGTTCCTTTTCGGGTCGCAGGGGTCACTGGCGCCCATGTCCAACAATCACTGCGCAAGAAATGGGGGACACTCTGGACAGGTCTCCAGTCCATCATAGGGACCCATAGAGACAAACGAGACAAAAAACAATTCACTCTCTCTCACACATCTAAGGACAATTTAGAGTTACCAATCAGCCCAACATGCATGTTTTTGGTCTGTGGGAGGAAACCAGAGTATCCAGAGAAAACCCACGTATGTACAGAGAGAACATGCAAACTCCACCCAGAAACGTCCCCGGCTGGTATTTGAATCGGTGACCTTCTCGCTGAGAGGCAGCAGCTCTACCGAGCCACCATGCTGCCCTAAATCCATGTTTCAATCATTTCAAGCAATCAGGTCACAGACATACTGTAAGTCTTGAAAACATTGTTGTTTAACAGTTTATTGCTATGGTGTTATCCCTGTAGTTCTATACAGAATATAAGGATTGGTGGCTTTTTGGCTTCTACTTCTGTGTGCCCCTGACTTGCACCGCCATCTTCTACACCCTGATGACCAGTGAGATGCTGAACCACAGGAAGGGCAGCCTTCGCATCGCACTCAGCGAGCACCTCAAACAGGTTGGACAAAAATCAGTGGTTTCAACATATTCCTGATTCGTTCTGTTGATCATTTTATTTTCTAATAAGCAAACACATTTTTCTCTCTGCAGAGGAGGGAGGTGGCCAAAGCCGTTTTCTGCCTTGTGCTAATATTTGCCCTTTGCTGGTTCCCGCTGCACCTGAGCAGGATTCTGAAGAAAATGGTTTACAACCAGAAAGACGAGATGCGCTGTGAGCTACTGAAGTGAGTTTCTACTTAAGCAACATTCACGCTAAATGTCCTTGAAAAGCCCATGCAACTTAGCATTTCGTATTCACAGATTTACTGTCTGTCAGTTTGACTGTTCAAAACCCCTAATAATGTTATTATGCTGTGCATTAGAGCAGTGGTTCCCAACCCTGCTCTGGTTCTGGAGAAACACAACCCCTGCATGCTTTTGTTGTTTCCCTGCTTTGACAAACCTGATTTAAATTAATTGGTGCTTAACATGCTTTGGAAAAACTTGAGGAAGTAATTAAATCACTGAATCAGGTGTGTTGGAGCGGTGAAACAACTAAAACATGCAGGATGGCGTTCCTCAAGGACATGGTTGGGAGCCATTGCATTAGAGCACCTTTTCATGTCATGTTTGTTCGCAAAGCTCACTTTTTGCTGCAGGCTCTCCATTGTGCCCTGATTAGTCTGACTGGTCAAAAATGCTTGCACACTAGCAGTTGCCTGCTCTTTACGTAAAAATGTTATGTTATAAAAATGCTTTTGCACTGACATATAATATAGCATTAATAAGTAAATAGTAATTATGGAAACAGAAACGCAATAAATGAGGATTTTAAGCCATTTCTTCTGTTGGGGTGTTTGGGTCTTGGAACATTGCAAACATCAAATCTAACAAGGTTACTGCAGGCTTTTGCAATTTTAACAACAAAAAGAAAAACTATTAAAAAAAATTCAATGGGTTCTGAATCTGCACGGTCCAAATCTTGCTCATGTGTTATAAAATTCTGTTTCAATGTTTTTCATCAACACTGTTAATAAACGGAAAAATGGGCAAAAAGAACACAATATAATAACTTCCTCTCAAATCTTTCCTTCAAAATAAAGGCCTTGCATTCTTTATATATTTTTGTCTTCTTAATCTCCCCCTATCGGGCAGGAGATGCAGAAGTTCGTAGAACAGAATCAGCAACCATAAGAACAGTTTTGTTTTTTTGTTTTCTTTTGTTTTCTTTTTACCACAAACTATTATACTTTTAAACAAATTAGCTTTTATCTAACAAGGTTAAGCCAGGTCATCTGGACGGATTCTTCTTTGTTCTTATTTTCTTCAAAGAAGAATCCATCCAGATGACCTGACTTAACCTTGTTAGTCACAAAAAAAAGTTAAATCATGTCATCTGGACAGATTCTTCTTGGAAGAATCGTTTCATCTTTCATCCAAAGAACTTCATCAGTCTGAGGCCTGCCAACAAAATCTGTCTTATAAATAGTACCTTATTAACGTGTTTCAAGTCAGCCTTATGTGGAATTCCCAGAAAATGGTTTTACACATGCAGAATAGGAACTATCTGTCTAAACAATCGATCATCAGTACATAACAATCGCAATAGGCCTGAAGGCCATTTGCTACTCACTGAACCAGCCTGAGGGCAACTAAGCCAAAATAGTTAAAAAAAATATGTAAGCTCAATCATCCAGGTAAATAAATCACTAAAAAAAGTTAAATCAAGTTATCTGGACATATTTCTCTTGGAAGAAACGTTTCATCTTTCATTTGAAATACTTCATCAGTCTGAGACCTGCCAACAAAATCTGTCATATAAATAGCACCTTGTTGACGTGTTTCATTCAAACTTTATTTATACAGGTTAGTCTCATTGAGCCACGTGGACTAATTTGCAAGAGAGGCATGTTTTAAACAAAGAACAGAAGAGGAACAAGCAATAACAGACAGTCATAAAAAGCATATAAAATGAAAAGTAAATAGAGGAAATTAAATATAAATAAAACAAAAAGCAAGACAAAAAACATCTACATTATAAAGTGATGTAAAATACTAAAAACAGGAACATGTCCGCATTGGTTTTTCCCTTGAACTTAGCAGTTGTTTAAAGAAACTTAGTGGTCAATGTCGAGAGATTCAAATATTTTTGCAAAGTGTTCCAGGTTACAGGAGTGGAGTAGGAGAAGGCCCTTTAGCCTAGTTCGGTCTACACTGAGGGGACGCTGCATGTAATAATGTCCTGAGAGCGCACGCTGTAGCTGCACTCATTGGGTGACATGTAGGAGGAGATATACCTGTATAAGGCAACAAATAAAGAAGTGATTTAAAGATGAAAATGTACAGTGGGATTGTCTGTGTGAAGTTAATGATGACCAGTTAACCAGTGAATACAGGGTGCAATGCTGGGTATGGTAATTACAGCCTGTTATGAATCTTAGCGCACCATGATAGACAGCTTCCAACATCTGCAGAGTGCTTGTAGGGGCGTTCATGTAAATACCGTATTTTCCAGATTATATGTTGCTCCAGAATATAGGTCGCATCAGTCAAAAAATGCCTCATGAAGAGGAAATAAACATACATAAGTTGCTTCAGAGTATATGTCGCATTTACTTAGACATGTATTTCACAAACTGCAAGAACAGACATTTAATCTGAAAGAACAATAACACACAAAACATACCTGGGATCCTGAACAGGCTCAATAAACATAACAAGCCAACAAGTCCAACAAGCAAGTTACCATCCTCAATGTTGCTTCTGAACATCTCCGCTAACTCTGGAGGAAGATGTGTATGTGTGTGTGTGTGTGTGTGTGGGGGGGGGGGGGGGGGGTTAGCAGAAGAGGAAGAACATATAGTTGTCAAAAGCCTAGAGGGCCCTCTTGTAGCTGCACATGGTAAAGTCTACTCTCTAGTTCAGCTTCGCTGAAGGTTTTTAATGACATTGTTGAAGCAATGGCTGCTAAGGATTATTGTGCTGCGCTTTTCTTAGACCTGTCTAAAGCTTTTGACACTGTGGATCATAACATCTTGTGTCATAAGCTCTCAGAAATCGGTTTCTCAGATCACACCATTGTTGGTTCTCTAACTATCTTTCAGATCGGAGGCAATGTGTTCAACATAATGGTACTTCCTCCAGTTATTTAACAGTCAACAATGGTGTACCACAAGGCTCAGTCTTAGGACACACCCTCTTTACAATCTACATAGGTAATGTAGGTCAGAGCATCCCTGATGCATCCTTACATTTCTATGCTCATGACACAGTTGTTTATTGTCGAGCTAAAACAGTTGCTAAAGATTTCCAGCTTTTGCAATCTGCTTTCTACATCATCCAGTCAGATTTGTTCCACCTCAAACGTGTCCTAAATGCCAATAAAACCAAAGGGATGCTTTTTCAACCAGGAAGTCAGTTCCAGTAATTCTTCCTCTGAATTTTTCCTCAAATGGTGTCCCTACTGAATTTGTCGATTCCTATAAATATTTGGGTATCTTGGTCGACTCACATCTCTCTTTTAAGCTTCACATGGAAAACCTAGTAAAGAAACTGAAAGTTCAATTGGGTTTATTTTTCAGAAATAGATCCTGTTTCACTCTGAATGCTAGGAAACGCCTTGTAACTGCAACTTTCTTTCCCTCCATTGAAATTATTTACATGAACGCTCCTACAAGAACCCTGCAGATGTTGGATGCTGTCTATCATGGTGCACTAAGATTCATAACTGGCTGTGATTATCGTACCCACCACTGCACACTGTATTCACTGGTTAACTGGTCACCATTAACTTCACACAGACTCTCCCACTGGTACATTTTCATCTTTAAATCACTTCTTGGTCTGCTGCCTTCATACATCTCCTCCTACATGTCTCTGCGTGAGTGCAGCTACAACGTGCGCTCTCAGGACATTATTACCTGCAGTGTTCCCTCAGTGAGGACTGAACTTGGCAAAAGGGCCTTCTCCTACTCCGCTCCTGTTTCCTTGAATATCTTACAAAAAGATCTGAAGCTCTCGACCTTGACCTCTCCAAGTGGCTTTAAGAATCTGTTGGACTCCTGGCAACGACCAATGCAGACATGTTCCTGTTTTTAGTTTTCTACACTGCCTTATAATCTAGTTGTTTTTTTTTTTTTTTTGCTACTTTTCCTTTTAATTATCCATTCGATCATCATTTTATTTTCACTTGTTAAAAAAAATTGTATGCATCTTTTATGACTGTCTATAGTTGTCGTCGTTATCCCCTGTTGTCATCACTCTGTTAAAATTCAGGTCTCTCTTGTAAATGAGTCCCCGAGGCTCAATGGGATTAACCTGTATAAATAAGGATTGAATGAATGTCAGTATGAATGAACATTTAACGCATCAGTCAAACACTGCAGCATGAATAGAGAAAAAAAACATATATGTCACTTCAGACTATATGTTGCAAGACTGGCCAAACTATGAAAAAAAGTACAACTTAAAGTCTGAAAATTACGGTAATGTCACCATAGTCAATGTTTCAAGCCAGCCTTGTTAGATTTGTCTACCTGGATTATTGAGCATGCATCAGGAAACTTAACCTTTATATTTAATAGTTTACATATTTTTGTTAAGTCAAACTAAAGGATTCACACTGCATATTATCTGTGCCTTATGGACTCAACATAAGAACATCATTTGTGCACTGTGTAATATCTGTAAATGTGCTTCTTAATGTGTGAGGTGTAAGTATTGTAGTTTTTATTGTTCTATACTACCCAAGAGATATCACCAGCCTGAGACAAATTCCTTGTCTGTTGTCTAATAAATATGATTTTGATTCTGATTTATTTAATAAAAAATGCATATCACCCATCATCTTTTCATGCCAGATTATGAGTTGATAATGGTTTTCAGCTTTTATCACATCAAATTTTTCTTTTATTTCTGTAAATTTGACTGACACACAAACATGCACATACAAGCATCATTTCCAGTCTTTGCCTTTCTGCATTGGATATATAATGAATGAAACAAATTTAACTCAAATACTTTATAACCCCTTAAGTAATTACTATAAAAAATACTTCATTTTAGAAAAAGGAGCATGCTAACCTTTAAATCTTCAACTTTTGGTGATTTAGATTTTATTTGGTTGAACTCACACATTGTTTCTGTTTTCAGTTTTCTCCTGGTCATGGACTACCTCGGCATTAACCTGGCAACAATCAACTCGTGCATAAATCCCATTATACTGTACTTTGTCAGCAAGAAGTTCAAAAACTGCTTCAAGGTACTGTGCTCCCTACACTTAACCCCGTCACAACCACCTCCTCACACTTCAGACACAGACATTTTGCTTTGAGATAATCTGGCTTTTAAGAACAAGTAAAGCATTTGTTCATGACTCAGGGGCTGGGATGTGATGACGTTCCACGAGCAATAAAAGCAGTCTTGTATGTAGTCACTTCACAGGCTGAGCTCACCTCACAAACGTCTGTCAGGGGAGATAAACCATGTCCAGAGTTTACATGTCGAAGGGGAACTAATGAAAAACTGGAGCTCCGTATATGGAAAAACTCTCATGTTAACATGTTTCTTCTCTTTTACATGTTCTCCCAGTCATGTTTGTGCTGCTGGTGTTATTCTGACAATCATCTGAACAGCACTGGACCCGTGAATGGAACCAGTATCCAGTGTAAAAGCCCAGAGCCCAACAACCTACAAACTGACCGCAGCGTCAGGAAAGACAGCAACTGATCACTCACCACTTATTTTAATGCTTAAAAATAAACACTACTCATCTTAAAACGTATACATAAAAATATATATTTGATCCTGCTTGGGACACTGAAGGAACATGTGTCCGAAAGCACATATTAGGAACTGGAACAAGGGAATGAACCATGGAGTGGATTTCCTGAGCCTCGCAACGAGCCGGGCTTCCTGAGAAAAGCCCCTTCTGGTTCCCACACCCACAGACAGCAACTCTGTAGCCTGAGAGAAGAAGGGGGGGGGGGGGTAAGCAGGATGAGGACTCTTCTGAAGGATGCAGCTGAACTCTATAAATGACTCTACCAGGAGTTGAGCACAGTTTTCCTGCAAAGGGCAGCGTTGCCAGGAAGGATGCTGCAAGAAGGAAAAGTCTGACCGAACGATGGACATAACAGTTTCCTCTGAGCTGTTTGCCACTCGTTGAAGATGTGAACCAAACAAACAAAACAACTCGTAACTGAGGTTTCGTGCTGTGTTTCATATATACTTGTTTTGTATTCAGCAATGTTAAAGCATTTTGTATTCTTTAAGAAAAAGTGAAATATCTCTTAGGAAAAGATGCGTATAAACACTAAAACATTGTTTCAGTTGAATTTGATGTAGTTTTAAAGCAACAGTTCAGACATTTAAACGTAGTCTTCTGCAGGAACATTATACAAATAATTATTTCTACTTGAAGAACATTTTTAGAAATGGCTGTGGTGTAATAGTTTATAAAACAGTGTTCATGTGAACTGATTTTTTTAAGATGGTAGTCTTGGCCCTTTCTCAACTACTAGCAGTAGTAGTAGGCTGTCAATCAGCTCAGAAAATGAATTAATTTCCCAAAATGAACATAACTTTTACACAGAAACACACTTTTAATTCATATTCAATTCAAAAATGCTTTATTAATCCCAAATGGAAATTAATTGTTGTTGTAGCTCATCCTGATTTCATTAGAGTTGTTATAGATGCTGATGGCTTTGGGCAGGAAGGATCTCTTGTAGCGGTCCGTCCCACAGCAGATCTGAATAAACTGACTGCAGATGCCGATCTGTCCGCCCAGACCCTGCAGACCTCTTGGTCCTCTTGGGCAGCAGGACTGCCTGAATGCCGGGGAAAACTCCTCCCCGAGTGATGGCCATTTCCCCCAGCAGCCTGCCAAGCCCTTCATCGCCGCGGACTTAACTGCAGGTGCCGGGGGGACGATCTGGCGTTTCCCGCCATCTATAAGATATTGGTGGTCAGGCACTTGAGCACCACCTCCAGGTAGATGAGAATGCATCCATGGCACCTCATTTTCAACTCATTTGAGATTTGGGGCTGTAGTTAAGGTCATTTTTGAGCTTTTGAGATGTTAATCAGCTGCTCCCAGTTGTAGAAAACCACCTCGTTGTTATGGTTAAAGGCCTAAACAGTACTTTTAAGATCACGTTTAAATTGTTTGGATAAAAGATTGCAAATTATGGCAGAGACGATATAAAGATTGTCTCAAGGAAACACAACATTTGCATTTTAAGTCTCATGTAGCCATTGAATAAAACTAGGCAGGAACTATAGTCTTGGTTCCACAACACTGTGAAAGCAAATATAAACATTGTTGAATCATTTAAGATAGTAGAGCCAAATGAATCTTAAAATGTTTTTCATTCACTTTTATAAAGTGTCAAAATTGCAAAAAAAGTATTTATCTTAGACTACACTACCTTTGCGATGGTATAGACAGGTAATTTCTGAAAATTGCAGATTTAAGAAAATGTTCTGTAAAAGTATTTTGAAGAAAAAAGTCAACATTTCATTACTGACACAGAAGGATTTGCTCTTGTGCATTACGGACATATAGCTAGCAGCTAGTTTAGCCTACAATCAATACAGGAAATGAGTCAAGCATGTGGCATGACTTTGACCAAAAATACCAAAAAATAAATTTTATATTGTGCTTATTGAAAAATGAAACTTAACTGGCTGGACAAGAAGTGCAGAGTAAAGGGAAATGTGGCTAGGTTTGTTATAAAATACTTTAAACAGTGCTATATTGTAAAATTGTGTAATACTTTAGTCAAGTTTTAAACTATTTTGAGGATTAAATTTCTTGTCTGGATTACCCCTCTTCTTAAACCCTTTCGATTGTGAATAGGAACATTTCCAAAAATGTTATGTACCTGCAAGTAATGACCTTATATTTTTATGTTTTTTATTATTATTTTATGCTTTTGAAATGTGAACAAATGTAAACCTTTTTGCGTTTGAGTTTATGCCCACCTATGTGTGTGCTACTTGATCTAGTTCATGTAGTGTTTTGCACACTTGTGTGTTTTTCACCACTGTTTATCAAAGTAAGTTGTAATCTGTGGTAAATGTTTCATTAGTGATTTAAAGTCATGTTGTTGTTGCTGCTTCAACCAATAAATCACTTTCCATCTCCACTGTAAGATTTTTACTGAGCTATTAAAGTAGTTTCTCTGAAAAAAAAAAAAAAAAGATTTATTTATTTTTTTAAATGAAAGATCAAGGCCTCCCTCTTCTGTTAATAATCTGTGTCTGCGAGAATGAGGCACCAGGGAGAGATTTGAAGCGCACTGTGACCTGATCTCCAGCTCAGCTCTAGAAGTTGGTAATGTCAGCAGAGAGAATGTAAACGGCTCGGACGGTGGGAATCTGATACATATACTGCACAGTAATTCACTTCCCATCCTGACCAAAGCAAAGTTTGTCCAATGGAAGGTTTGCATTTTGCATTAAATGTCATGATAGATAAAATGAGGTTTTTCTAAAGTGGTTACATAGAAAACCTTGTGTATAAATGTATTTTGCAACGCATAATTTATTTCTTTATGTAGATTCCAACATAATTCAGATTTCTTTTACAGAAAAAATAAAACGCATAGATTTTACATGTGGAAAAATCACATTTTCAAAAGTTAAATAAAGTGGGCATGTGAGCCAAATCTTCATGCAAGTTAGTTCACTGTGGAGACCCCTGAAGAAGGGAGCAGCCAAAAGAAGAAGAAGAAGAAAAATAAATAAATTTAAATTAAATTAAATGGCCATTCCTTGACTGAGGAAGATGCCCAACAGACCCGGTAGACCCAAACATGTAGTGAGTGTTTGCTGGGAACACCTGGCAGAAGAGCCCATCAGAGAGATCTTCAACTTACACCTCCATGAGAGCTTTAACGCATCCCAGCTGACATGGGAGACATTGAGTCCGAGTGGGCCATGTTCCACACCTCAGTTGTTGAAGTAGCTGCCTTGAGCTGTGGCCGCAAGGTTGTCGGTTCTTCTCATGCTGGCCATCCTCGAACTTGGTGGTGGACACCTCAGGTTAGGGAGGCTGTCAAGCTGAAGAAGGAGCCCTATCATTCCTCATTGGCTGGTGGGACTTCAGAGGCAACTAAGGAGTACCGGAGGACCAAGCAGACCGCAGCCTTGACTATGGATGAGGCAAATGCTCAGATGTGAGAAGAGTTCGGTGAGGCCTTGGATAAAGATTCTCAGTCAGCTCCGAGGAGATTCTGGCAAACCGTCAGGCAGCTGAGGAGAGGAAAGCAGTACTTTATTAACACTGTTTTCAGTGAAGGTGGGGTGCTGTTGACCTCAACCAGTGATGTCATCAGGAGGTGGAAGGAATAATTCTCGGACCTTCTCAATCCCACCAGCACGTCTTCCATGAAGGAAGATGAGCCAGGGGACTTTGGGGTTGGTCTGTCCATAACCGTGGCTAAGATCGCCAAGGTAGTTAAAAAGCTCAGAGACGGCAGGGCTCCAGGAGTGGATGAGATTCACCATAATTACCTTAAGGCTCTGTATGGTGTGGAGCTGTCTTGGTTGGCACACATTTGCAACATTGCCTGGACATTGGGGGTAGTGCCACTGGATTGGCAAACTAGGGTGGTGGTTCCCCTCTTCAAAAAGGGGCACCAGAGGGTGTGCTCCAATTATAGGGGCATCACTCTCCTTAGCCTCCCTGGTAAGGTCTATTCAGGGGTACTGGAGAAACGAGTCCGATCATTGGTCGAACCTCAGATCCAGGAGGAACAATGCAGGTTTCGTCCTGGCCGTGGAACACTGGATCAGCTTTTTACCATCACTAGGGTCCTCGAGGGGTCATGGGAGTTTGCCCATCCAGTCTACATGTGTTTTGTGGACTTGGAGAAGGCATTCGACCAAGTTGATCAGGGTACACTGTGGGGGTGTGCTCCGTGAGTATGCGATTGGGGGCCCGTTGTTTCGGGTTGTTCGGTCCCTATACAAGCATTGCAAGAGTTTGGTTCGCATTGCCGGTAGTAAGTTGGACCCCTTCAGGGTGGGAGTTAGACTCTGCCAGAGCTGCCCATTGTCACCGATTCTGTTCATAACTTTTATGGACAGAATTTCTTAATGCAGCCAGGGGACAGAGGAAGTCTGCTTTGGTGGCCTCAGGATTCCATCTCTGCTCTTTGCAGATGATGTGGTCCTGTTGGCGTCATCGTGCCATGATCTTCAGCTCTAACTGGAGCGGTTCACAGCCGAAGGTGAAATGGTTGTAATGAGAATCAGCACCTCCAAATCTGAGACCATGGTCCTCGGTCGGAAAAGTGTGGATTGGTCTCATCAGATCGAGGGTGAGATTCTGTCTCAAGTGGAGGAGTTCAAATATCTCTGGGTTTTGTTCACGAGTGAGGGAAGAATGGAGCATGAGATTGACAGATAGATTGCCCCTGCGACCTGACTTTGGAACAAACGGAAGATAATTGATGGATGGTTGGATGGTTGGATGGATGGATGGATGGATGGATGGATGGACGGATGGACGGACGGACGGACGGACGGACGGACGGACGGACGGACGGATGGATGGATGGATGGATGGATTGATTCAGCACTCCTTGAAAGAATACATATTGCCTGCTTTCTTGCATGATGTCAGATAATTTTTGATCAAAGGTTATGGATGTTTTTATTGTGCTTTATTATTATAGCTGAGAATGTTCTTACCTTCTGCCCTGAGAACAAGGAGCTCGGTTGTCTCCAGAAATCACGAATTTTCTCCCAAAACACTTATCTTGAACTGAAGGGATGCCCATGAACCGTCTTTGTGAAGGCATGTGAGGCCATGTGAGGTTACAGCTGGTTT